ATCATCATCATCATCATCATCATCATCATCATCATCATCATCATCATCCAGCTTCAACGGTGATGGAATAGAATACTGTAATTCAGCCATGGATGCAAGAGAGTCCTTGACATGAAGACCTCAACAGAACACATGTTCGTCACGACATCCCTGCCAACAACATGTCCGAACGCAGTGGCTCAGCTAGACTGGCAGGAGCAGGCCCTGCAGGTGGCGCGGGTCACAAAGATTATCGACCCAGGAACGGATGATACCAAGCCGCTGGGCTGATTTCAGCACTGGGGCCCATCCGAAATTGAACATGCATAGTATACAGTATACATACATATACATACACTACAAAAATTATATACCTTAGGATATTCTTGTCGGGGTGTTCCATGTAGATCCACAGGTAGGGTAGTCCATTGGAGGCCCCTCTCAAGTTACTGGTATATATATAGTATATATGCATATATATATATATTATGTAATTCCATTGTTGTGCATATGCGCAGATAAGCTAAATTGCATAGCCTTGTACATATGTAGAGGATGTCTTGTCCAACACAGGGTCCAGGTTTCCAAGCGTTTGAACAAGATCCAGTATTCCGTTCCTTGATGAGGGGAGGGGGCTTGTTGAAATGCATTGAAGAGGTTGCTTGACAGAAGGCGCAGGCCTCAATCATATTCAATCGTTGAAAACACGCTGGACAGAAGGCAGCAAGGACAGCCCTGTAATGCCCTGTAGGAAAATCCCATAGATTGACCCACTGTTGAAGGTCTCAGACAGAGAGGGAGGGAGGGAGACAGAGAGAGAGAGAGAGAGAAGCTAGTGGTGACCGCTGGTCTTGAATAGTGGGTCTCAGTGCAAACTCACCAATGCGGGGCGAGAGAGAGAGAGACGGCGAGAGAGAGAGAGAGAGAGCTAGCTTCGAGCTTCGATGGCTTTGAAATGTGTTAATACCAAAGTGTTCGAGAATGATACTTTGTTTGACTCAGATGGTTGTTTTGTTGGGTTGCGGCAGCCGCTGTGTGTCTAGATTCTAGGTAATATAGACGCAAATAATGCGTGGTAGACGTCGACGTACACGGGATGGTGCAGAATGTCTACAAATGAGACGAGAGGATTTAGCACACCAGGACTCGGAGAACGCTTTCACTGGGAATCACAAGCACGGTTGTCGCCACGACCCAGACATTGAGATTTAGTCATCAGTCAGACACTGAGGTATGTCATCAAAATTCGCGAATTTGCCAAGTTTGTGGTTGGCTTGGGAGAGAAGGTCTCCGCCACTGATATTGAAGAGGGCATGCGTGTGGGCGTTGACACCTCCCATGGTGGCAAGTGCCTCGGCGAAGATGGAGTCTTTCTGGGCATCGATCTTTGAACAGAGGAAAGATGAGCACGGATATTTGCAGTGTCACGTTTTGCATGTTTGTTCTGTAGTTCCATGTAGTTCCTGTATAAAATGTGAAGTAGAATCGTAGAATGTTGCTCACTGCAGTTGTTTGCAGGTCCCATCAGCCATACAGAAACGGGCAATGGCCCAGCCAACTCACCAGGGCGATCTCGCACCACTCGGGCCCCATGGCATTCCCCTTTCTTTTGCCGTTCTGAATGGGGTCCATATCGGCAAAAGTGGGCCGCAGGTCTTGGGAGCTCTTTTCTCCAAAATGGGCACAATAACAAGCCAGGTTCAAACATGTCGCTAATCCTTCCTTCGACGATGAAAGACTATTGAAACAGGACTACCCGTTGAATCCCTTTGATGTGTGTGATACAGGAACAACATTGCCCGACCACGGATGTTGTCATCTTTGTGTGCCATTACTCTAATCATTCGGATGTTGTCTTAGTCTGTAACTTTCACTTTGTTTCTCCTCAGCCCCGCCAAGGTATCGAATTCAGATTCCACTTCCACCGAAGATTGATCCCAGCGTCACGATGATGACCGTCGAGGCGCTTGCGCCTTTCTTCGTCGCAGAGCGCGTGTCGTAGAGAGCTCGCCACAGCGGGAGGGCTAAACCCATGGCAATGGACCGGAGAGAGGAATAGCATTGACCAAGCTGATGGTCTTAGACGGGCTTTGTGTTGTTTGGAAGATTTCTATCCAGGATCGATGAGTTTTTGGTATATTTTTTGGGGACTGACCTGTGAGGAAGATCTTACAGGCACAACTCCGCACATACAATCCTGTCAGTTCCGTTCAGCTTGGAACCCCTATGTTTCCGGTATGTTTTCACGTTTTTTACCCTACTGCTTTTGCTTTTTGCTGTTTGCTTTTGCTTTTTGCTTTTCCTTTTGCTTTTTGCTTTTGCCTTTGCTTTTGCTTCTGCTTTTGCTTTTTTGCTTCTGTTTTTGCTTTTTGCTTCTGCTTTTGCTTCTGCTGACTATCTTCTTTGCATTGACACTGCCACAAAGTTGGATGATAAGACCTTCACTTTGAGCTTTGACACCCAATTACACCAATCAAGAAAAGAAGCAGCCCAGAGCTGTCTATATTTGATTTGCATCGCGGGGGAGGCGCTGCGCCCTCCCCCGCACCC